TCCTTCTGTCTCTTTCCTTTATGAAGTGCTTGTTTTTCTGTTGTAACAGACTCAGATCTTTGACCTACATCAGTGCTGCAGGTTATCTGTCCTTCAGCTGGAAATTGATTGATTCTGTTAAATGCTATAACCCTCTATTAAATAACACAACTTTGTTTTAAACTTGTATTTGTTCATTTCTTACCAGAAGGTGATTAAGTGTGTGATTTGCACCACATGCAGGATGTTGCACACGTTCATGTCTCTCTGTGTCTCTGCTAGATCTTCCACGACGTTGCCTACAAGGCGAAGGACCGGACGGACCTGCTGTCGGGGATCGATGAGTTCCTGGATCAGGTGACCGTCCTCCCGCCGGGGGAATGGGACCCCAGCATCCGCATCGAGCCCCCGAAGAGCGTCCCCTCCCAGGTGAGACCGGTGTCTTCCCATTTCGCCCCTTCTCGTTTCGCCCCTTCCCAATTCGCCACTTCGCCCATTTCGCCCCTTTTTTACATTAGGCCACATATACGAAATGATACTTGTTTTTCTTGGTCGTGGGTTTTAGGGTTAGGGTTATGGTTAGGATTTATAGATCTAATGATGCATCCCATGAAGCATTGCATGAAGGCTGTTGTTGGGGCTTCATGGGAAGGGGCGAAAGGGGAATAAACCGGTGAGACCGCATTCAATTCAAACTCATCTCTGAACCCCACCATGTTCTGAACAGACAATATTCATTGGTACCGTCGAATCGGGGATACAGGGTCCCACGAAGTCAGACTGAAGCTCTCCTGTGTGCACCGATCAATCCTCACGTTAAATACAGAGTTTCATCCCAGATCTAATGTATGTTAGAGGGTCTTGAACATGTGTCTCTTCAGTGATCGTGATGTTATCTCAAATATCTGTTTCCCTTGAACTGTGTTTTAATATTTGTCCTTGTTTGATGTTGCAAATGGAGCTGCTGTGATGCAAGTACAATCAGACTTGATCTGACATTCATTACTCGGACAAATAAGGCCTTAAATGGTATCAACATGTGTTAACTTAATCAACTTCGATATGGTAAGTTAATATTCAAATCATGGGTAGTTCTTTAAAGGGTAAAGACATAGACGGAAGAAACTTTTTTTTTTCTGGTAGGTTATTTGCCAAAGCTGGAAACTAATTATGGCATTTAGGCTACCAGATGTAGACCTTTTTAATTTAATATTAAGGCCAACTTCTCAGACTGTATATCGACGTATTTTACCGCCAATCACAGGAGTGTTGTGTATTAGAAGTGTTGAGAAATGTTTCTATGGATACCTGCAATTCCTGAAGGCAACGTGACTACGGAAGACCTGTCACTCATGATTCCAAGCCCCTCTCTGCTAAGCCCCGCCCTCCACGAAACATCACGGCCAAAAGTCTAAAAGCGAGAAAAAGTTGAATCTGAAAGCATAAAATCTGCTTGTGAAAAAAAGCATGATTCAAGTATCAAAATATAAATAAAAGTTAAATGTGAAAAAATATGATTTAATCAAAGAAATTGCTAAATGGATTTGTTTATGTTTAACTTGAAAAAACGTTTCAAATACTTGCTTTAGTTTGAATTCATCATTGTATTTTCCAACTTTTGACACAGATTTAGCTCCATATAAAATAAAACATCAGACCAGAACATTGTAGAATACTCTCAGTGATAAATCAAATGGTTTCTTCTTGTACATTTCAGAAAGCTGAGCATATTCAATATCAACTTTAAATCTCTTCCTGCAGGAGAAGAGGAAGTTGCCGTCGGCGCAGAATGGCTCCGCCCACAACTGTGACATCATCAAGGAGTCGGAGCATCAGGCGGGGCCAGAGCTGCAGAGGACGGGCCGGTGTGCAACAAATACCTTTTAACACGTCTATAGCCTATGTACTCTATGTAGTTTAAAAATGACAGAAAAGCATAAACATACCGCCTATGATTTATGTATGTTTAAGTGTTAATATTACAAAGATGGTAAAAGGTATCAATATAATCTTTGCTTTATGGCATGCTTTGCCTCTCTGTGAACATCTAGTCCACATTTGGTGACATTCTGATCCTTATTTATGGAGATACATCGGGATAAAGCCAACACGGCCCCCTTCAGAGGAGCCCACATTTCCACTCTTTTCTGTTATGGAAAAGTTCTAGACATGAACCAAAAATAATAATTTTGCAGTAAAATATTTGTATACAACCATCTGTTTCATATACTAGACATGTTAAAGGTCTCCTATCATGCAAAATATATTTTCTACATCACTATGTGTCCCCTGTGTGTCCCCGGTGTGTCCCCGGTGTGTCAGGAGACTCTCAAAGTGTCAGAAAATAAACCCCTCTCTCTTTTCCTCCGTACCCAAATCTCTAAAAACGGGGGAACAACGGAGCTGATCCGATTTGCGTCCGATATGACGTAATATCGGAAATGTGGGCTGGCTTTACACCCACGGGCCAATCAGAAACGTTGCTGTCAGAAACAATGAGACGTGTTCTGGAAGTAATATGGTCTGTGTTTACATTAGCATGCTAACACTCAGAGCTAACCTGTACTGGAGAGAGTCTGTGTGAAGAAGCAGGAAATCAAAAGGAAGTCACCTTGTGGTAAACCTGAGAGAGAGAAAGAGTTTGAGCTCCATCCTGTTTCAGAGAGAATCCTTGATGTGGTTTGGAACATGATGTGGAGTTTCATCACGGCAGCATTTAGCTGAGTTTCTGCTGGGAGAGTTCTGAGCAGGCACATGGTCCCCCTCTTCTTCTTTTTTTATAGCAATGAAAAAACATGGTTGTGGTTTGTTCTACCTCGAGTAGGGGTACCTCAACTTTTCGGGTCCTCTGCTGTTAGTCTTTTTACACTTCAGTTATCCCGCAGTAACAGAGTTTTGTTTTAAAGCCTTCCTCTCCTCGTCTGAAGGGTTTTCGGGGGTTTGGTGAACGACGTCCGCAGGAAGATCCCGTTCCTGTGGAGCGACGTGCGGGACGCCGTCAGCCTGCAGTGTGTCGCCTCCGTCCTCTTCCTGTACTGCGCCTGCATGTCTCCCGTCATCGCCTTCGGGGGGCTGCTGGGGGAGGCCACCAAGGGGAACATCGTAAGAACACACTCCACCCACCTTGTCTCTACATCAACATGTGTCCCCTCTTCTTCATGTCTCTTCTTCATCAACATGTGTCCCCTCTTCTCCATGTCTCTTCTACATCAACATGTGTCCCCTCTTCTTCATGTCTCTTCTACATCAACATGTGTCCCCTCTTCTTCATGTCTCTTCTACATCAACATGTGTCCCCTCTTCTTCATGTCTCTTCTACATCAACATGTGTCCCCTCTTCTACATCAACATGTGTCCCCTCTTCTTCATGTCTCTTCTACATCAGCATGCATGTGTCCCCTCTTCTTCATGTCTCTTCTACATCAACATGTGTCCCCTCTTCTTCATGTCTCTTCTACATCAACATGTGTCCCCTCTTCTTCATGTCTCTTCTACATCAACATGTGTCCCCTCTTCTTCATGAACATGTGTCCCCTCTTCTTCATGTCT